ATAAAACTGAATATTAATAGTCATTTAAACAACATAGAGACAGAAGGCACAGGCACTAAATATGCTAGTATAGTATTACGACTTGAGTATTTATATGAAGTCTTTTTCATTATTTTCAGCACGAACACACCTTATTATAAATTAGACTTATATGGATTGAGCATTGCTCACAAAAGTCAGTGCCAACTGCCAGCCGCAGTTAGCACTGTGCTGTTAATTTGTGCAGTATTCATATGTGATAAATATCACACAATCACAATCATCATATATTCCTGTAGCTTGAACAGTAATTCCTAGGTCATGGGTTTAATTCCTAGAGAATGCATGAACGGAATAAAGTGTATACCTTGCATGCAGTGTACGCTGCTTTGGATAAAAGCGTCAAATGCATAAATGTAAAACTATGCATGCACTTTCTGCATGCTGAAGAGCCAGTTTAGGTGGCTGTAGTGAAGTACACCAGATCATGCTGCATCCTACAAAACCTAGCACTCAGAAATGACCTGAAAGATGGCAAATTTTGCTGTGCAAATTATTTTCAGCACAGGTGTTTTGGTCATGCTTGCGGTGTTGCCCAATTTGCATAAATCATGTAGTGAATTGGGTGTTAAAACAAGACAGACAGCATGGGTAAATAAGCAACGCTATCAGTTCAGTCTTAGTTAATTACCTATTTTTTCTCTAGCTTACTTTCTGTCCTTTCTTTCTTTACCTCTTCTCTGGCTCCCTTCTTCTGTAGTCTTTTATAATAATAAAGAGTATGTGCGGGAGAAGCAGCGGGCAAATGCAATAAAACACATAGCTGACAAGATCTTAACCGAGCTGCTGGATTCAGCTCAAGAACACACACACAAAAATCTAATAAGAGCCCAGCGAAGTGAGGGAAGGGGGAATGGAGAGGGAATGGGATGGAGGGCACAGATAAATTTACCAGATGGAGGAGAGGCAGAATGAGAGATGGAGAGTGGGAATGCAAGAGTGAGTTTAGTTAAGAAGAGAGCAGGAGTTTAAAAGCAAGAGGCCAGAGAAAGGTGAAGAGTGGTAAAAAGAACTCAACTGTATTTCCTCAGTCCTCGTCGGACGAGTTTGAATCTCAGCTCATGAATAATATAAGCTAAAGGTTGATCAGTCAAGCTGACACTGAATTAAAGGATCGCGAGAAACATGAGGAGAGGAAAGGTGTTGAAATTGCTTCACTTGGAAAGATTAAATATAAAAGGCACTTATGATCTACTTTCGAATTCATAACATTTGCTTCTGAGTTTGTGCAGTTGTGCTTATATACTTGTAGAATGTAAGGAATGTACAGTGGGTATAGAAAAGAATCACCCCCCTTTAAAATACCCCCGCCTAATAATGACTTGTAAACTCAATCAGGTGTAGCTGATCACCTTCTCAATGGCACACGAAGCCATTTGACTTTCAACTGTGATCAGCTGTGGTAATTTTGATTAGCTCAGCATGAAAATAGCTTTCCTGGAGCATTTCAGTCCTTGGTAGTGCAACTGAAGCAAACAATCAACTATGGGCACCCATCAAAAGATTTCTGGGATAAAGTTGTGGACGGGCACAAGTCAGGAGATGGATACAAAAACATTTCAAAGGCTTTATCAATGCCTAGAAGCACAGTGAAGTCTATTATTAAGAAGTGAAAGGTATTTGGTACACAGACCCTCCCTGGATTAGGACGCCGCTCCAAACTGGATGAAAGAGTCAGGAGGAAACTGCTCAGAGAGACTACAAAGAGGCCTACAGCAACTCTGAAGCAGCTGCAGGAAATTATGACAAAGAGTGGTCATTGTGTGCATGTGACAACAATATCACAAATTCTCCACAAATGTGGCTTGTATGGGAGGGTTGCAAGAAAAAAGCCCCCCCTCAAGAAAGGCCCCATGCAG